TTTCTTCACCTCCCTCTCTCGTCCCCAGACCTCCGACGTCGTAGCCGTTCTGTAAAGCGGAACCCTGGAGCTCTAGACCAATTTCAGAAGGACAGGCCTTTCATCCTGAATGTTTCTGTTGACGGCTCCAGGGGCGGCGAGGCACCCTAGAAGGTCCGTCATGCTTTCTTCGCGACGCCGTGCAGTCAGGGTCCCCCCTCCCCCTCTCCACCTCAGGACGAAGGGGCCCCCGCTCCTGGCCGAAAAAGCTGGAGTAGCTCGCGCACGCCTCGCCAGCGCTGGCCATGACGGCACCGAGCTCCCCGTTGGAGTCCACCTCCGAGTTGTGGTCCCAGAGCCCCTCCTGCCGAGGGCACTGGAGCGGCACGACGGCACGGCGAAGGCCCGCCCACGGCCAAGGGGCGGCTCCTCCTCCTCCTCCGCCGCCGCCCCTCCTCCTCATCCTACCTACTACTCCTCCTCCTCCTCCTCCTCCTCCTCCTCCTCCTCCTCCTCCTCCTCCCTTCCTCCGCTCCTCCTCCTCCTCCTCCTCCTCCTCCTCCGCTCCTCCTCTCCTCCTCCTCCCCTCCACCTCCTCCTCCTCCTCCTCCTCCTCCTCCTCCTCCTCCTCCATTCCTTTTCATGAAACATGCTCCTCGCTGTCGCACCCCGAGGCGTGTCGAAAAAGCGGACCGGGCGTTTCGCCTGAGATTTCGTCACCACTGATGCGCCTTAAGCTGAACATTCACATGAATGTCACGGGTGAAGGGCGAACCGCTTTCAAAATGTGGCTCTCGCCTCAGCGCCGCGCACATTCGTTTGAAACGTTTGCAAGGATTTCACGGGTGCGAGGCGGGCCGCTTTCGAAATGTGGCTCTCGCCTTAGCGCCGCACGAATTCGCCTTAAACATGTAAAGAGCTTCACGGATGGAGCACTGTTCCTTTCAAAGCTGTGGCTCTCGCATTAGCGCCGCGCACATTCGTTTTCAGAGTTTGTAGCAAGTTCAAATATTCTCATGGCTAACGTCCCATAACTGGCATTTTGGAACGATGTCGGACTACCAGGGCGCAACAGGTACGGCGGTGTTGAAGTCCCAAGAATGGTGTTCTGGCACGGTTCAGGATCGTCAAGATGCAACAGTCACTGCGATTCGCTGCGTTGAAGTTTTAGGAATGGTGTTCTGGCGCAGTTCATGATTTTCAAACGATTGCCTTCCAACGGGGTACTTCCTTCAGTGGGAATTAATCCCTGTGTGGGGCCTATGAAGAGGGAACTTGGAAGGAGGATATATTGCACTATCGTTGAAAAGTCATGGGGTTTACACTGGTCCTCCTCCTCCTCCTCCTCCTCCCCCTCCTCATCCACGTCATCATCATCATCATCATCATCATCATCATCATCATCATCATCATCATCATCATCATCATCATCATCATCATCATCATCATCATTATCATCATCAACATCAACATCAACATCAACATCAACATCAACAGCAGCAGCAGCAGCAGCCTCCTCCTCCTCCTCCTCCTCCTCCTCCTCCTCCTCGGCACCATCAGCACCACCATCCTCCTCCTCCTCCTTCTTCCTCCTCCTCCTCCTCATCATCATCATCCACATCACCACCATCACCATCACCATCACCATCACCATCACTATCACCATCACCATCACCATCACCATCACCATCACCATCACCATCACCATCACAATCACCATCATCACCACCACCACCATCATCATCATTGTTATCATCATCACCATCATCACATTCAGCTTCACCACCATCATCATCATCATCATCATCGTCATCATGAACACCAACACCATCCTCATCAACAATAGCCACAATGACAACTATCGTGGCAAGACTGGCCAGAAGAAGGAAGAGGGAAAAGGACAAAGGAGAGAGCGAGGGAAGGAGGAAGCAACGATACAGGGGAAGGGTAAGAGGGAGGGAGGAGGATAAGGGGCGAAGAAGACTTAGCAGGAGAAAAAGAAAGAAAAAGAGAGAGAGAGGAACAAACAGTTTGGCAAACAAGCCCCGGCGGGCGAGTCGGGCGGGCCAGCCCTAACTGGCGGGTTGGGCGGGCGGAACCTGACGGGCGAGTCCGGCGGGCTGGGCACTAAAGCGGGATGGAGGGCTCCCAGGCACGCGGACAGGCGGACTCTAACAGGCAAGTCGGGCGGGCGGACCCTCACGGGCGAGTCGGGCGGGTGGACCCTAGCGGGCGGGCGGGCGGACCTTAGCGACTGGGTCGGGTGGTACATTGAAACGGGCGGGCGGTCCTGACGGGCGGGTCGGGCGGGCGGGCTCTGATGGGCTGGTCGGGTGGGTCGGGAAAGCGGGGCATTGAAGCGAGTTTTAGAAATTGCAAAGAAACCGCAGGCGAGAGCACGGGTCCTGAGCAAATTGCCAGGAAATCTCGCGCGAGAGCGCAATTCCTGGGCGTAGATGGCGTGACGCTTGAACCTGGTCGGACGTGAGCGGGAAGCGCCAGTTGTGTCCGTTGGGCTCTCAAGGATGATGGAGACGACAAGGCGGCGGATGACAGGGATGACAGCATGGATGGCGGGGAGGGCAGCGATGGGAGCAGGAAGAACAACGGGTAGGGCGATGACCACGAGGACGGGGAGGATGAGATGGAGGAGGCCGGGCCCGAGGAGGAACAAAGCGGAGTCGGATGAGGAGGAGGATGAGAAGGAGAAAGACTACGATGACGAAGGACGGCGGTAAAGAGCCCGAGGAAAAGGACGTCGAAGAAGGGAGGGGTCCTCGTGATCTTTTCAAACTACCCTGGGTGCTGTTGAGGTCATTTGCGGCTATCTTGGGACATCCTGGGGGCCTCTTGGGTGACTGTTGGGATCCTCTTGGGGGCTACTGGGGTCTTCTTGGCCTGTCCGGGCGTTTTGGGGGGTTCTGCGGGGGCTCTCCAAGGCCGTCTTGGCGCCATCTTGGGCTATCTTGGGCCGTCTGGGAGCCTCCTGGGGCTCTCTCGGGGCTCTTTTGGGGTCCTCTGGGGGGTCTTTGGGGCTCTTTTAGGCTACGATGGGTCTCCCCGAGAGCGATTCTAAGACGCATTGATGCGGAGCCCCCTCCGAAGCCGTTTTTGGAGGCTGCCTCAAGCGAAACGCCGTTTTCCTAGAACCTATCCAGGCAAGAACGGGAAACGCCGCTTCTCTGAGCTTGCGTGCGCACGCGCGCATGGATTAGCACCCGGCACGCATGTGTGCAAATGGGGTGAAGTCGCTGGGCTCCCCTAAATGTCCAGATGGTTGCGATTGGTAGCTTGTGTTTAGTGGTTGCCTGCGGTTGTTTGGTCAGATGTTGCGCGTGTTCTGTGTGTGAGTGTGCGAGAGAGAGTTCCTGCATGTGCGCGTGCGCATGAGCGTGTGTTTTCGGTACTTCCTCTGCCTGCTGACTGGCATTTGACTGTCTTGCAACACTTGGCGCCCGTATTACGTTCGGTACCATGGGAGCTGGGGTGTCAGTCGCCGCACCAATCCCCGGCAACGCAAGCCCGCGGCGCTGCGGCGCCCACGAGCTGGCTCTCGAGCCGTATTGCTGAAGTCTGCGCCCAGCGCATGTGCGTGTGCGTGTGTGCCTGTGTGTGCCTGTCTGTGCGGCTGTGTGCGTGTGCGCGCGTGTGTGTGCGCGCGCCTGTTCAAGGCGCGCGCCGAGGGGGCGGGAAGGGGAGCGCACGGCGTGCGTGACGTGCCGGGGCAGGCGGGCGGGGGGGGTGCACGGTGCGCGTGCGGGGTGCGTGCGGGGCGGGGGGCGGGGGTGCGTGCACGGTGTGCATGCGTGGTGCGTGCCCGGCGGGGTCCGTAGCAATTTTTGCTCAAGCTCCCAACCCCTTTCGGGGGGGTGGGAGTTTGCCGCGGCCATCGGCTCGAGGGGGGCCGAGGGGCCACGGGGCGCGGCGCGCCGGGCGCGCGCCGGCGCATGCAGTGGCTGCCTGGGGGATGCTCGGTGCAACTCCCCCCCCTTCTGGCCGGCTGCGGGTGGCAACTGCTGGTCGCCGCTGCGCGCGCGCCGGGCGCGTGGCTCGATGCCGCTGCGGTGGCAGGCGGCGGGGCGGGGGAAGGCGAAGGCGGGGGCGAAGGCAAGGGTTCGGCCAGGCGGCCCCCGTTCCCGCAGCGCCCGCGCGGCGCCGCCGAGCGTGGGGGCGCCAGCCGCCCTCGCAGCGCTGGCGACGCCACCGAAGCGCCAGCGCCATTGGGACGGCTCATGGAGACTTGGAAGCGGGTCGGCGCACCTTCTGGCCGGCGCCGCAGCGGGAACCCACGAGACGGGCCAGGCCCTGCGGGCCCTGGGCGGCGCTCGCGGAGCCCGACGACGAGGCGCCCGCCTGGGCGGGGCCGCTCGCCGGAGCCAAGAAGGCCCCCGCACCGGGCGGCGCCCGCGTAGGGCCGCGCCAGAACCGCAGCCGCAACCGCAGCCGCCGCCGCCGCAGCCTCGGCGGCCCGCGGCCCCCCTCCCGCGCGCGGCCTGCGGGCAAGCCGGCCGGCCCCTCTCCTGCCTGGCCCGCCCAGCGCCGGGCGCGCGCTCCCGGCGGCTGCCCCGGCCGCCTTGGCCGCGGGCGCGCCGCCCGAGCAGCCAGCGGCGGAAGAGCTGAGCAGCCGCTAGTACACCACGGACGACGAAGACGGCACGGCTGGCGCGCCACCAGGCGCAGCTGCAGGGGCAGCTCCTCCGGCGGCGAATCGACTCGGCTGGCGGCAGCGGGGGCCGCCGCCAGCCGCCAGCTAGGGCTGGCGACGCCCGCGCTACCGCTGGCCCCCGCAACGGGGCGACGGGACCAGCTGGCCCTGCCGGCGGCGGCGCGGGGCGCGACGGAACCGCTGGAGCCAGCCGCGCCAGGCTTGCCCGGCCCAGCGCGCTCGTCGCGGCCCTCTGGCAGCCAGCCTGGAGAACTTCTCGGCGACCTGTAGAAACGGCAGGTGCTCTTGCGCTGGGGCCGCTGGGCCCAGGCACAGCCTCGCGAGGTTGGCCCGCCCGCGGCTGGGCTGCGGCCTGGCGACGGCGGAAGCCGATGGGGGACATTTCCCCATTTACCTGGAGCACGAGGCGCTCGGCGGCGGGCAGGAGAGGGAACAGACTTGCGCTCGCCAGCGCGGGCCTGGGCCGACCTGGAAGACGACGCCGGCTCGGCCCGCGGGGCGGGCGACGAGGGCCAGATGCCCGCGGAGGCGGCGGCGGCGCAGCCGGGGGCGGCGGCGCAGCTGGCGACGACGGCGCGCCGGCCGCCGGCGGGGCCAACGATCGAGGGCGGCGCGGCGGCCTCCCTCTGGGAGGCAGCCAGCCTGGCCAGCTTGCCAGAGGAGGCTGCGGGCGCGGGCCGCGGCCTGGCGCAGCCTCC